TTAATCTGAGAGACGTGAAATGTGGGATGGATACGAAGAGAGGGTGGGAGGTGAAGGCAGACTGCAGAGGGACTAATGATGCTCTCTATCTCATAAGGGCCAATGAATTTGGGAGCAATCTTCTTGGAAATAGATTTTAGAGGGACATCACGTGAGGACAGCCATACTTTTTGACCAAGAACATACTGTGGAGATGGGGATCTCTTTCGATCTGCAAGGCGGCGGTTTTGTTCTGATGTACGGTTGAGGGCGACGATGGTGTTGGTCCAGATGTTCTTGCAATGGCGGATGTGGTGATGGACCGAAGTGACTGATATTTGTTCTTCATCTGCTGAGAAAAGAGGAGGTTGATACCCAAGGGATGTTTCAAAAGGAGACAGACCAATAGCAGCTGAGGTTTGAGAGTTGTGAGCATATTCCACCCAAGGTTAATATTGGCTCCAGTCAGCAGGATTGGCAGAATTGAGGCATCTTAGTGTGGCTTTAAGTTTCTGATTCATGCGTTCAGCTTGACCATTGGATTGAGGGTGGTAACCAGATGTGAGAGTGACCTTCGCTCCGATGGCTGAACAAAACTGCTTCCAGACTTGTGAAATGAACCGAGGGCCCCGATCAGACAGGATTTCTTGAAGGATACCATGGAGGCGAAACACATGCTTTACAAGGAGTTGAGCAGTCTGGAAGGCAGTGGGTAGCTTTCTGAGAGGGATGAGATGACAGGCTTTAGAGAAGCGTTCAATGATAGTGAATATAGTAGTCATACCTTTGGATAAAGGAAATCCGGTGACAAAAATCGATGGAGATGTGGGACCATGGCCTCTTGGGGATGGCTAGGGGCTGGAGCAGACCAGATGGTGATTGATGAGAGGATTTGTTGCGGGCACAAATGGAGCAGGCCAGGACATATTCTTTGACATCTTTGTGAATAGATGGCCACCAGAAGCGACAGATGATGAGAGCCACGGTTCCGCTAATCCCAGGATGTGCAGAAAACATAGAGTGGATCCAGTGGATGAGACGGGCTCGGACTGCGGAGGGCACATACTTTTACTTGAGATGAATAMATCCTGGAGAGAGCATCAGGTTTTTGGTTCTTAGAACCGGGTCTGAAAGAAATACAGAGATTAAAGCGAGCGAAGAACAGAGACCAATGAGACTGACGGGGTTTCAGTCGTTAGGCAGCTTGGAGATAAGAGAGGTTCTTGTGATCGGTCCAGACCAGCACAGGATGTTCTGCACCCTCCAACCAATGCCTCCACTCTTCCAAGGCCAGTTTGATGGCGAGTAGTTCTGTCCCCCACGTCATAATTTCTCTCTGTCGGGGTGAGTCTGCGAGAGAAGAATGCACAGGGGTGAGTTTTATTATCAGAACCTGAGCACTGAGAGAGGACCGCTCCGACCCCAGTCTCTGAAGCGTCCACTTCTACAATAAAAAAAAGCCAGGCAGAAAGAGAAATCACACACACGACAGGCCCTGGAGCAGTGTGGTTATCCTGAC